AACTGCCGATTGATGTCCCACCCCTGGCGTATCTTGGTGGTTCAGGCAAGAAGCAGAGGGGGACAAGGTAGTCGATACGTATCATTCCAACATATCGATGCTGCTATGAAGACGAACGAAAGCGGCGCCGAATCACATCAAGGACAAGTACGATGACGAGCGCATCTGCTGTACACAAGGTTTGGTGGAGCAGACGCGAGTCAACCATGATCAAAACTGGCAGAAACGGGGGAATGGGGCTCTCCTGGGATGAGGACCGAGACGTGGGAAAAAAAAAATGTTCAGAATATTTCGATTATTTTTTTCTCATGACCAGATAGACTTCCAGAAGGGCGCACGTCCTTCTCGTGGGGCGTCCCGAATCCACACGGGGGTGGTGACATATGATCACACAACAGAGTGGATGATTTGAGCCAGACGAACAATGTAACGTGCCCTGGTTCTTTCTGGCCCCAACACCCAAAAGGTGGACGACGATGATTTTACCAGCAGCCTTACTCAGTCAGCTCACCAGGTCTTTGCCACGTTTTTTTTTTCTTTCCTTCCCTTTCTCTCTCAACTGCTCCCTCCCCAACTAGCGCTCAGGCGCTATGCCTCGTGAGGGCCGCTGTCCCAAACGCTGGGTAGCCACCCACGAGTGAGCCATTCATCACGACCACGACCCCAACCCCTGCTCCGGATGTTCGCCGCGGAGCTAGTGTGGATTGGCCCCCAGCGACGTGGGCCTGACACACGAATCCTGACTCGGGACCTTGCCGTTTTGGGGGGGCAGGGGTGGGTCAACAGCGCGCCCCTTTGGGAAATGAATGGGGGGGGGCCTGCACTTGGTGGTGCGTGGTCTCGACCGCGACGGTGGACTCCCCCGCCCTCTGGTTTTCTGCGAAGAGGGGGGTGGACATGGCCTGCTTTGTCGGAGTTTGCCATGTGCGCTCTTTACGGGGTGGAGCGAGAGAAGGCAATCTGGGCTCGTGTCGATGACACACGGCCCCCTTCCCATTCGTCGCTTGCTTGACTTCAAGCAGTGAGAGGGTGAGAGAGGGAGGGAGATTTGGAGTACATTTACTTGGAGATGCGAGTCAGAAGAATTTTTTGGAGGGGTGGGCATGTTTTGGGGAGACGCAGGGGCACGACGACGACGACCTGGAGCGCAGGCAGCGAGGCGAACTAGCGAGCGCACGCTCGGGTACAATGGCATTGTGCTCGACGGGTCGACACGGGCGCACACATGGTGATCTTCAGGTCGTGCGGCGCCTGGACGCCATGCGGTGCTGTATGGGCGTTGTGGGCTTGACCGTGCTGGTTTTGTGTTGTACGGACAGCGCGAGACACTGTGGGGATTTTTTTTTTTTTAGAGGTTCACGAGACGGGCGAAAATGACCCAAGGCACCTTGGGTAGGTGCCGTACGGCGCAGCCAGGCCAGCACGCGGCAGTCGGGGAGCCAAGGCGCATTACCTAGGTAGCCAGGCTGCAGGCCCGGGCGGAGGCGCGAACCCGGCTCTCGGGGACGAGGCGCCAGCTGGGCAGGCCTTCTAGAAGGCGCATCGTCGGCCTTATTGGCGGATCCACGGTGACACGGAATCATGTGGGGACCAGGAGGGCGCTCGGCTGCAGCAGGGAGCGCACAAATGCAAGGTACACACACACACACACCCAAGACACCCCAAGGCAAACAGTGACACGGTGGCTTCGCAGGCTCGTTCCTCTTTCTGCAACGACGGAGAAAGGGGGAAGCCAGGCCGTCCGTCAGTGGCCCACGGCCAAACGGGCATTTCACGATGGGACCGACCGACGCGGCACTGCGGCTCAGTCTCAGGGGATGCAAGGGGGAGGGGATATGCATTTTGCCGGCTCGGCAAGCACTGTTGCTCTCCACGTGCTGATGGATGCTGAAGGCCAGACGGAACCACAGGCCAGCCAACGGGTTCATCACGGCGGTTTTGCGGATTCCGTCATGCTTGCTCGTCAGGAACAACGTGCTGTGCGGTACTGGAGTCGGTGCTCACTTACCTAGGTAGGTAGCTACCTAGCAAACTACCTACCTACCTACTTAGGTGACGTAAGGTACAAGCACCTTAGGCCTGCACCTCGGCCGACAGACAGCGAGCCAGCCGCACGCCTCCCCCGCGATGGGCCATCGGGCCCAGCGCATCGGGGCCATCTGCCGGCTTCTCTGGCGGCCCTGCTCGCCTTTGGCCGCCTTTGGCCTGCGCTGCGAGAGCTGAGCCTCGCGTGCCTCACGTGGCTGTCGAGGTGTTACGAGTTTGCTGCTTCGGGAACCGAGCCCGCGAGGGGGCGAGGGAAGAAAGGGGGGGGGGGGAAGCGCTAGGATGGGAAGGGGGCCGACGGACGCTTCGGGGGAGACCGCAGCACCAGAGACGTAAGAGCGAGACATGGTGAGAACACGAGCGCATCAGAGACAAAGACGGTGGCCTGCCCATGTGGAGAGGCAGGCACTAGACCACTTGTCAGCAGGAAACGATAGAGAAGAAGAACGAACCAGCCGCGGCCAGTCGTGTCG